ATCCTACCTACATTTGAACAAATGTATAAAGCCCCTTCATCTCCACATATTTTAAAATTCTGTACCTCAAAGCTTGCTATCTCAAACCTCTCAAACAAAGAATATCATTTCTTGAAAAATCACTATGGGCCAGGCACTGTTCCCAGCATTTTACACATATTATGCTATTCAAACTTTAAAAAGAAAGTTATATTATCACCTCATTTTACAAATGAGAAAATCGAGGTTTATAATTTTGAATAACTTGCCCAGAGGCACTTGACCAGTAAATTGCCTGCCTCTTAGGAAAACTAATTCCAGAAAAAGAATGTCTCTAAGAAAGGGCGTTACTGAAACCTCATTTTTGGACAGTCATGCCAACCTTCCAACAGATGACCTCGCTTTCCTCATCCATTTTTCAACTTGATTTCTGTTTCCATCACTATTCCCACTAAGATCAACTAAATGACCTCTTAATATCCAGCTTTAGTGGGCTTGGAAGCTCCTACTTTATTCGACTTCCTTTTATATTCCCACATTATACTCCTCTTTCTATGGAAAGGTTTTTCAGCTTTCATTACACACACACACAAAAAAAAAAAACCTTCTTTCTAACTTACTTGGTTCTCTCAATCTTTTGCAAAACATTTCTTCTTTCACAAGTCCTTTGTTTTGCTCATTTCTGGCTTAAATTCTAAATCCATTGTTCAAGATTCTTTCTCTGAGTACATATCTCTACTCTCATCGCTTCACTTTATATAGTAAATACCTCCAGTCTCCAATCACTCTTCCATATTCCATATTCAAAATTCCAACTCCTTTGTAGATACCATGCAGTGCCACCACCACAAAGGCACCTCAAAAAGTACCACATATCTAATTTCTTCTATCCCCTTCTACGATCTTACTCTTTCAGTTAATGATTTCAACGTTCATCTGATTTCCTTGGTTATAAACTTCATCCATCCTTCATTTCTCCCATGTATTAGCTGTGAATTAGCATAGCTAATTCTACCTCATAAGGCCTTCTTTCTATTGCCACTATCACTACTTTAACTCTAAGCTTTATCATAGATCGTTCAAACAAATATCTGTGGTTGTTTTGTGTGTATTCACCTCTCTTTTACTCCTCATACTTGAAATTTTTAAGAGAATTTTAAGTCAACTGCATATTTTACGTACCATTTTTACTTTTGACTTATACTTCGAAATTATTTAGTGGTTTTAAAAAAAACACACTTTTATTTTAACATGCCATCTCAAAGAAAGTATTTTGGACATATAATATGCATATTTAATGTAAAAATTATATTGACTATGTTTAAGATAATATACCAACCACTATGGGGAAAAATGTTTAATAAAAATGAATTTAATGTGGGTTTTACCTTTAAAGACTTTAAGATCTGTTAGAGGAGATAAGGCATATACCTTAAGAGTTATAACACATACTAGAATACAATAAACATAAAAAAGTATAGAAAAACGCTACTGGAATCATATCAAGGAAGAACTTGCTTTCATTAAGGGAACCCAAGCAAACTTCACAAAGACCTGATCAAAGATTTCAAGAATGAGCAGAATATAAACTTTTGGATATTTATTCTCCTCACATACCTTACTGAGCCCCGCTTTATGCAAGGGACTGCAGTAAGTGCTAGAAATACAGAAATACACAAGAGAATAAGAGACAGACCTTGCCTTCAAGTCATTTTCAGTCTAGGTGAAAAGGAGTTATAATGGAGATTTTCAAAACAGACTACAAAGCAATAAAGGAAATTGCAAAGATGGAGGAGAAAAACTAACTTCTCAACAAGAATGTCGCTAAGAAGGGGTGCTACTTAAACTGAGCTTAGAATATCAAGTAGACTAGACTAAAATGAAAATGAGTTTGGGAAAGACAGAAAAGCATTCAAAAAAAAAAGGCATTCCAAACAGAGAAATCAAGGGCTCATGACAGAAATGTATCAAGTATATTCCTTAGTGATGGCCCAGGAGAGTCGAAAAAGAGACATACAAGATATGGACAGAAAATAGACATCTCGGCTGAGTATGGAAAAGTTAAAGACCAGACTAAGAACTGAAGATATTTCTTTTACAAATAACTTCTAAATGACAACTAAAAATTCTGAGGAGTAATTCATTTTTACCAGAGAAACCACCAATTTACCTAACTGACTGCATTTCTGATTAAAATTGATGTGGCTTTATCAAGCAGTCTGATCATGGGAAATTTTCTAGACTTTTTACATTAAAATTCCACTAATGATTCTATTAAAATGTCTGTACTGTCTTCTTTTGTGCTCTGTCATTTCTTAGTTAATGTTTGTGCTAACAGTCATCTACTTTTACTTCAGGATGGCCTTACTCTTTGTCACTCAGATTATTATAGAAAATAAAAACAGGAACAATGGCTATTTCCACAACATTTTAGGATCTAGTATTCCTCCATTACTTTAATTTTTAACCACAACTAATGAATTAGATTGAGCTTTGTTATTTATTTGGAGCTTTGATAACACAAACTATAATCTACTCCTTAATAACTTTCCAGGGGAAAAAAAATCGACAGTATTTATTCAGCCTCTAGTTTGACTTCTATTATATTTAGTCTTAAAAATCAAAATAAATGGGCAACTCTGGGAACCAGCAGTTAGTGTAATGGCTATGTCGCTGGACTCCCACGTAGTCGACCACGGTTCGCGTTCTGGACCCGGTGGCTTAAAACTAACACTGGACACGTGTGCGTGCGTGCCCAAGATCCCAAGAGGAGAATGGAGGAGAAGGGATTGTGGCGTGACCATCCCCTCTGGAGGGTGATTTCTCGCTTTCTGTCTCTATGTCTCTCTCTGTCTGTCTGGCGAGCGCACACGCCCTATAGCAAAAAAACCTCTTAAAATAAATAAATAAATAAATAA